CGAACGGAGTCGGGCGTAGGCCGCTTTCTCCTGTGCAGGCCAGAAAACTGCCTACATTAGTCTTTGCGCTGGCACTACCGCACTATTTACCCTCGCTCACCTTCACTAGGTATGAAGACAGACTCAAGGAGACCAAGGCTGGTACTGCTACTACCGCTACCGCTGTTTTTGGTACTAGTACTAACTAGGATTGTAGCTGAGTGATAGTAGTACAAGTAATATTTATGACGCTATTAAAGTCAGTGCTGGGCCCATCTCCCCCAAATCTCCAAAAGAAGTGTGCACTTCGAATCATGCTATTCTGTTTGCAGCCCGGAGCGGAACAGGGCTTCCCTTAGATTCCGCCCTCTCATCTCTGTCCACCAAAAACTGTGTCACATTTTACTTAATTTGGGCTATAATACTGCTTTTGGAGGTAATATACCACTGCTAGTAGTGCTTATCTTAGTAGCCAGGCTTACAAAGATCAGCGGATAGCGTACTCTAGTAACATATTCCTATGATTATATCAATTGCTGAATGCATCCTATTATTTCAAAAAGCATAAGAGCTGAGAATATGAGCTTGCGCGCGTTCAAAACGCAATCTAGGCTGATCGGTAAGACACCCGGGCGAGCGTTCATGTCTGGTAGGTAAGTAAGTCGTGATTAATCCCCGATCGCAACCAACAAGACAATGAGCCTGTGGCGCAATGCCTAGAACGTTGGACTGTAATGGTCACTGCTGCCAGACGCAACTGACGCGCGTCCGAACGCACGCACCATGTTTTCCCCATTCTGGCCTCAACCCACAGTGGCTTGACCTCAATCCGTACAATGAGATTCCCGCTTTAGTAGACTGACCTCATTTAGTAGGTTGGCCTCAATCCCTGGGACACAGACGACAATGTGGTGTCTGACTCCAGGCATCAGTCCCGACCCGACCCGGCTAGGGAACAGATGCACAAGTCCGCGAGTCCAACTTCCTCCTACCTCTTGTGTACACAATACATTGTCCTACAAATCTGGCTTGCCCAAGACTCCTCTCTCCTCTTCTAAGGAAATGGGCCTAGAAGATCGCAGCTATTAGACATAACCTTCTTAGCCTTAACTCCTCAGTGAAAGGACTTCGAGA